CGCGACGTGCGCGCAAGTGCAAAACAAGGGCTGCATACATGACACATTGTGCAAATGGCACATTTTGAGATCGGATACAGGACGCGTTTGTAGATGTCCGACGTTGTTTCCATAGTGAGCTAAGTTAACAATATATCATCATACATAAACATTTTCCGGGAGTAAATACTTGACTTATTGAATAAAGTTTGCTATATTCACGAACTAGTTTGGCAATATTATTCCGTGCATGTGTTAAAAACCTTATTTCCATTTGATTCATTGGATTACTCGCGTGAATGTTTAGCACGTTAATGCTTTCGTTTTTAAAACCGTCCGACCTCGACTACAAAACCATCAACCAGTTGCATAGGATTAAAACATGTCAACACTCACTCACCCCGTCTTAAACATTCCCAAAGAAGTTCCTCTGTCTCTCGTTGTGCTGGATGAAGTCACTGGCGACGAGTAAACCCAAAATAGTCCCAAACAGGCGCAGAGGCATTTTTCTTTTTTACTAGTTGTCCGAGTTCGGGGCCGGCAAATGCTGCCGCCATCTTGCTCAGCTCAGCTCTGTGCTGAGCTCTGAGAGCGGGAAAGACGGACTGCCCTCCCCTGCCCTCTGCTGGCGCGTGCTGTGCATTACAACCAATGTCGTCCCTGTCAAAACTCCGTGTCAGTGTAATAGAATGAAACGCATCTGTGATTTGGCGCACAGTCTGTGACGTCACGGTATTGAAAATCATACCGACGGGATTTCCAAATACCCTGGTATACCGTAATACCGTCATACCGCCCAAGCCTAGTAGAGAGAATGAAATGAAGAAGTGATTGGATGTGTGAAGCGGGTTTACAGAGAGGTTAGAAGTAGAGCAGTTCCTTGAGAATATGAGATCAAGGACATTGCCAGCTTTATCAGTTGGTGGGGACGGAGACAGTGAGAAAGAAAAGGCGGTTAAAATAGATGTTAGTTCAGATATCTTCCCTGTCTGGAGGTTGAAGTCTCCGAGAAGTACAGTGGGAGGGCCAGTTTCAGGGATGTGTGAGAGGAGATTTGGAAATAGAAATACTGTCTGTTCATAGGTCTGTACATTCTTTATGGTGAACGCATTGAAATGAAATATATCACCTTGGCCACAGTTGTTTTTATTGTTTATTTTGTGATTTCCAGTGCTTTGACAAATGGCAATGTGTCTCTGGACGTGCTGCCAGTGAAAGGTCCCCAAGGTCCAGCACTGAGAGTGGCAGAGCCAACCTTAAAGGTACCATAAGGCTTCTTTAAGGATACCACTTTAATGATGATCTGAGTGTTGAATATCTATGTACCGTTTCTACTGTATTAGATGATTTTAAAAAATAAATTAAAAAATCTGCATATGGGATAAAATATATATTTTTCAATGCAGAATGTCCCTCCACAGGCTTCAGAGCCATTACACAGGCGGTCTGAGTCCTGGACCCTCCACCCAGAACAACTTGTCCTTGCAGCTCCCACCATCAGTAAGTAGGAAATATATATGTTAAAAGCATATTGTGTGAACTTTTAACAGCTTCGTTTTAAATTGCACTACAGATTTTTAGTATGATTGGTGAAGCAAGTTACTCTAAACCATAGGTTTATGATTCTGCATCAGAGAGTTATTGGTACACAGCGGGACACATTTGTTTTTTACTGTTGTTGTTTGTAGATGGTCCGGCCTCCACTAGTCAGGTTCAGATCCGGAACAATACTTCCAGAGAGCTGAGCTTCGATTTGTCCTGGCCCGCTCACTGCCTCACCATCACCCCTCAGCATGGAGTTATTGAGCCTCAGTAAGAATACACATTGTTGTTCGATCAAAATATTGGTTATGGTAAAAGCGAAGCTATTGGGTTAGAATTAGAGCCCATGTATTTAATGCGAGAATTTGTTATGTTTGTACTTACCACACAATGTCAACATAGCTTCAATAAACAACTAATTACAAAGAGAAAATCCAATGCTAATGTTATCCACTGTCACTGTGTGTATATGTGATTGGAATTATTCCCTTTGTGTCCTATTTTTATGTCATTTAAAAAAAAAGGTGCCACCTACAGATTTTGATCAGCCCCAACCCCTCACTAGCAACTAAATCTACCCTGCTGCCATGGAGTGGACAGATTTATGTCCAGTGCGACAGTCAGCAGAAGGTATTGAACACTTGGGACACACCGCTTTATAAACCTCAAGACAACTCAGGCATGCATCGCTGTGAGAACCTAAGACCTGAATGTGTGTGTTGTGACTGCTCAGTTGATTAAGGTCCAGATTCGGGCGGACCTGGCTTTGGATGTGTCCGCAGCCCCAGCAGACTCCACTCTGTCAGCCCTGCCTGCTCAGGCTGCCACTCCAGTGCTGACTGTGCCCAGACTCACTGTCCAGCCGTCACTACCCCAGCACACCCCACAGGCTCCTCTAGCCCTGCTGGAGATCAGCAACAAGACCATCATGTTCCCCAGCACTCCTTCAGGGGAAACATCAGGTTTGGAGGAGGCTGACCGCAGCACAAACCTTTGTCTTCTACATCTGGGTTTAAGTGTTACAGCAGCATGTTGTTGGCAATCTGAGCAGCCTTAAAACAATAATTTAGAAGCCTGATAATGTGAAAACGGTTTCAAATCTTCAGACTAATGTGGTTCTCAGTAATACTCTGTAGGCAGCATACTATGTTTTGTGTATCTGTCGGAGACTTATACTCTGTCTTTCTACTTCAGAGGCCCAGCTGGAGGTGCAGAATGGGAAAGTGGAAGTGAGGTGGTACCTGTCATCATTTGCTCCTCCATATGTCAAGGTGATTTTTCTTTTTACAATTTCTTTCTTCTGTCAACTCTTCAAGAATCAGCGGCTTTAACTTGTTAGTTTATTTATTTTCTTTTTTCATTTAGTTAGTCTCTGTGTATCCAAAAGATCCATCATTTGTTTCATGATTTACTTTGGTATTGTGTTTATCTTGTACATTTCACTCGATGTTTTTGCTCAAACATCCATCTGTGTCTTTTTACCGGGCATTGAGTGAAAGCAGTGACTCAGGCTGTAGTTTCTTTTCTCTCCATAGGGGGTTGACAACACAGGAGATGTTTACCGGGCCACTTACACTGCCTTTAGATGCTCCGGGGCCTCAGGCACTCTGGGGGCCCATGAGAAGATGCAGGTAGGCAATCACAACCAATTAGAGTTGTCTGTAAATTATATAGAGTACTTTATTTTACAAGGATGGGACAACATTGACTGCTTATGTTGTGGGTTTCTAGACAAATATATTGTGATCCTGGCCAATCTTGGGTAACAATAACCAATACTCCATTTACAACAGCTACTTTTATTTAATGGGGGCCAGCTTAGGTTATGTTATGTCAAGTTAAACAAATTATGATTAGGTTTATTTTAAGCGTGTTGTTGGTTAATGTGTATAGCAATAATAGATATGGCTTAATCTATTCTGACTGTTCTTGTTTTCTTGCTCTTCCAGGTGCCTATTACTTTTCTGCCCAGGGACAGAGGGGACTATGCCCAGTTCTGGGACTTGGAGTGCCACCCTGTGTCTGAGCCTCAGCAGAAAACCAGAATCCGCTTCCAACTCTGTGGCACTGTGAGGACTCATTTTAAGTTATGCCATACTAAATGGAGAAAAATGGGCTTCTGTAGTAAAGGACAACTTGTTTTATGTTGGACGTTTCATTTAGCTTGAAATACGGTTATCCAAATGACTGTTCAAAATTACTTCACTGTCAATCTTCCTTTTTGATTCTTTCTTTTTTTTATGTTGATGTATTGCTAGCAAACCTTAGGAGACAGATATGTAAATATTTACTGAAAAACATTGTAGATTTTGTGCTATTACCTTAATCTGTTTCTGTAGTACCTTGAATATGGTTTAGTAGTGTTTTGTGAGATAGTAAGCAGAGCCCCCTGCTGAGATGAGCCTGCAGGCTTTGCATATGCACCGCTTTAAAGTGCAAACATACACAGCTAGAGGGATGTCAGATAGATGGCTCCACATAAGTAGGTTAAGTGGCTATGATGTGAGGGCTTTTGTTGTTATTGCCTTATGTCTTACATGCAGTCTTAAAGTGGAGTGCAACATTCTGCAGTGTTAAATGCTAATCTGTGACTGCAGGCTGCAATACTTTGATTTAAATCTGTAACTCACAGTGGGATGTGGAACTGAATATGTAAAATGTTTCACATTTGGTTTTTATCATGACTGCATACGATTGAGCAATGATGTTTCTTACAGTCAGTTTAACAAAGTCTAATGTGTCCAAATGCAAGATACACTTAAAACATGAAGAGCGGATATTTTCTCAACTGGACTGTAGTAACCAGGTTTTTAATTAGTATGGAGATGGCAGCTAGCATGTTTATTTTGTCTGGCCAAAATCCGCGTGTGTGTGTGTGTGTAGGGAGTAAAGTCTGGAACAGTGGCAGGACCACAGGAAGGAGACTGCTCTCTGGTGAAGACAGAGGCCACAGTGAAGAGCAGGAAGAGAGCCGATGCCTCTGCAGGCAAAACCAGGTGAGTCCACTCCAATAGTCGTTTTGCTTGGGAAGGTCTGTAACTGTAGGAATTAGCAGCCATGCTTTAGAGTAGGTTTCTCATCTTGAGGTGATGGTTCTGCTTTCTTCTTAATCCCACAATGTATAATTGTCAGTGAGGAGGAGGCCGTGCGGAGGGGTGTGTATTCTCAACAGGATCTGTACACCTTCCCAGTGACACGGGTGGGTGAGTCCAGCACTCTGAAGGTCAACATCCGCAACAACTCATCCGACACACATGAGGTGAGGTTGCCTGTTTTGTAGATGACATAAGAGAGGAACATTTTTCCTTTCTCATTTACTGCAGCAGAAATTGAAATGCTGTGTACGTGTATGTATATATATATATATTTGCTTGAAGGCAATTGGACCGTCTTTGGTTTCAGTAGTTTCTCGAGATGCGAACAGGTTAAATGGATTAAAAATCAGAAGAAAGTGAGAGGAACAGTGCTTTATACTAACTCGCATTGAGGACACTGTTTTCCCACATGCCTATACAAATTGCATGACTCTTGACTTGTACTGAATGATAAATGTCAAACCCCTAAATAATCGTAATTATGTTTTGCATGGATTTTATATTTGATGTGTGGCTTCTCTAATTGACTTGCAGCTGAAATTTGTAAACCCTATGGAACCCTTCCATATCAAGCATTCCAAATATTCTCTGAGGTGAGTCCAATGGTCATTATCCCTGACTCCTTTCTGCTTTTTCATAGTGTTACGCCCCGGTCTAGGGGAACCTAGGCATAGCATAAAATCGCACACTCACCCCACTCTCCTCACTCTTCCCACTCCCAAGAAAAAGTTGGTACAAAGACGACATGTGTGTCCAGGGTCATAACAATAGTAGACAGGTGAAGCATTAGGAATCCATTTGTATAATAAGTACCTTCTCCTGTTTTTACTTGTTACTGTTCTTCCATGTTAGGGTTGTTGTGTTAATCTGTTAGATATGTTTTTGTTATGTAGTTTTTTTCATGCAACAAAATAGGAATAGTAAATACTATGTGATGTAAACTTAGTTTGTAATGTTATCTTCCCATTGTGACTGGTTCTGTGAGATCTTGGGACCTAGAGGATAATGTTTCTAAACATAGTACACACCTGGGAGAGTACTGATGTAATGCCTAAGCCGTTAGGAGGGGTTGCCTGGTGTGCTTTGCTGATGAGGGACTGTTTTCAGAATGGCCACAATGCATGTTTTGTATTGTTGAATTAGGAAAAGCAATCCAAAAGTGGAATGGGAAACAAACAAATCCAACCTGATTTTCACCAAAAATGAAAGTGTGTGTGTGTGTGTGTGTGTGTGTGTGTGTGTGTGTGTGTGTGTGTGTGTGTGTGTGTGTGTGTGTGTGTGTGATGCCGTACCATTTTCTGTGCATGTATGTAGACCATGCTGGCACATGTTCCTTTATGAATACAGTATTTTAAAGTTGAATTTAAGTCTAGCAAGTCATGATTCATAAAGGGAAATCCTAAGTACTTGATTTTAGTTTTGTGATTTGTGTGTACATCTGTGCTGGTGCATGTGACGTATCAACATTTAATATCAAAATAATTGTCTACTGTCCATAATTTAACTTGCCAATAACAGCTCTTCTCCTTTCCCACCCATTAGATCACAACACTATCTGAAGCTACCTGTCCAGTTCAAGCCCGGTACTGCAGGCACAGAGGCTGGTGTGCTGCTGATCCAGTCAGAAACAAGTGGAAGGCTTGTGATACAGCTGACCGGTGAGGCATCGCCTTGAACCTATGACACTTCCTCATTCTGGCTGGCTGGATTTGGAGGGATGCCATCATCATATTTTGAGGTTAGCTATATGGCTCCTCTGATGTATTTGGGAATATTTGCTGATGAACTGGAGATGACTGAGCCTCTGCTGCCAACACAGAGCCTTCTGCCTCAGAATGTGGCACAGGTGTCCTCAGCTCTGTGTCCTCCTCGGCCCATGAACAGTGATGAGGTCTGAAGCGGAGTGATTTGGCTTGACTGGCTCACAATTAGTCTGCACAACTATGACATTTCACAGAGCGAATGATGGTTGTCCCTTCACTGTGGATCTGGTATTTGCCTCATCACCGAGTCAAGTCATAAGTCAGCCCCCCGTTAGACATTACTGGTTGGGATATGTTAGGCACTACTTGGAGTTGTTTACATAGGATTGTCTTTGTCTCTGATTTGATTCTTTTAATTTGCGATGTTGCACAGCATTAATGTGAAAAATAGGCTAAATTAATTTCTTGTAACCTTGTAAGACTGCTGGGATTTGTGAATTCTGCTTTTTCAAAAATGTCAAATATAAGTCTGTCTACATTGCACTCAATGTTCCTGTTCTTCTATAATGGTGTGGTTTCTATGGAGATGGCTTCTCATCCTGTGGAGGCCACCTGCACAGTGGCCTTCATCAGCCCCATGTGTTGACTTCCCAGCATCTTCCAAGACTCCTTCCAAACAGTCCAGATGTATTTAATTTGGACCTGATCAGTGACGCTCACAGCAATTTTTGAATGGTTAATGATTGTTATTACATGCTAACAGTTTCATCTGGCGGGGGGTTTTGTTCGGCTGCTTGCCAGGCCTGCTTAGGTTGGTTACCATGGCAAAACAGTGTTAATCACAGTTCCAGTCACAGAACATTACCTCCCAATTTCCTCTTATGGCTCTGGGGCAAATGTTAAAAATTGCCTGGGGTATTGGATACACATCCATTGTTGATTTTGGAGCTCGAATGGCTAGACATTTCATCTTCATGGGGATGAGTTGTCAACCTTTGACATGCCTCGCACTGTCAACCTTTGACATGCCTCGCACTGTCAACCCTAAGGAAGAGAATAACACTAGAGATGAGCATTATTTTCCTGCTAGTAGACATTTAAAGTCTTCTTAGTCTTATTTTCAAAGGCAGCTCTCAACATCCCCTGACAACAACCCTGAAACATTTAGATTTACAATTTGCACATGCATTAAATAGAATAGAATATAATGTAATATATTGTATGTTCACATTTTGAATAAAGTTTTGTCTTAAAAAAGGTTGTCTGTTTTTAAGTAGCAAAGATTGGGGGCGTAAAAATAAGACTGGTAGCTTTCGGTTTCTCTGACTGGGCTCTGCTTGTGTTGTTTAGAGCAGAGGTTCTCAATTGTTTTTCAGCCAAGGACCCCTTACAAGATAGAGAATACACCAAGGACCCCCTCATTCTGATTTGTGATTTTGGGCTATATAAATAAAAATGTACTTGACTTGACATGTATGTCCCTTGGAATAATCTGACGTAGCCTATTTTTTACACTTCTATAGTCTTGGTTATGTGAAAGAACAACACAAGAGCAATGTATTAGAAAGACATTAGATATGTATTTTAAAATATTTGCACCATCTCAACACAGAATGCCCATAAAACAATCAATCAATTAGCTGCAAGTAACACTGTACCTAAACAAAATATCAAAGGGAAATCAAGAGAAAAGTGATCATTTGAAGTGCATTTCAGAACATAC